ATTTTTCTCTTCATTCAAGGTGTAGCTTTGCTCATTCTGCACAAGAAATGCTTCGCTGGGATAAAGCCAGATTGTCACTTCTCTTCGACTCAGTCAACATCCTTGATGACTCTGTTGAAAGAAGGCTAGCATAAATGTTCAAAAAACAGACCACTTCATATTCATTGATTTGGCTGAGAAAATCTTAAAGACAATGCTTACTGCAACGTTTTCAAGCACAGACTTCGTGGTTGTTGCCCGCTCAGTTTCAGGAACCGGTGTACTACGAATAGCCTGAATTAGGGCCATACTATTCAGCGCTTAGATGAGATGAAAACAGTAAAGTCAAGGTATCAGCGTACTACAACATTTTCGAGAACAGATCGAGGAGTAGTGGTGGCAAAATCGGTTTCGGGAGCTGGGGTACTACGAATCGCCTAAACTGGCAAAGCCTGCTTAGAAAGCGATCAAGAAAAACTTTGATGTAGTTTTCTTACTCCAATAACTTCCACTGCGGAACCAGGAGTAGTTGTAGCAAACGCAGTTTCTGGTGCTGGGGTTCTACGAATAGCCTACAAAAAAGCGTGCTTGTGCGTGATGAAAAATCATAGAGAGTTCAAAAAATAGTAATGAACACTAAACAGAGTTGACTTGCGAGGAGAATTTGGGTTTGGACGAATAAGCAAATCAAGCTGAGTTGTGAGAACATATACATATATACTGCTTTGATCTACAGGCCCCTAATAATTCTGAGGTTATTTCCATAGGAGAAGGCAAGATAGCTGACGAACTTTGTCTAATTTTACCGCACTTACAACTTCCAACTTAGTAAATATTGAGCTCAGCAAATTTCATCTCTGACAACTGTGAATTACTAAATACGATTTCAATGGTTGAGCAATGCAAATCAATTCTGCTTGGTGTTTTGTGCATTGAGAATAAAGTCCTACGGCGATGTTTTCAATGGCTGTTCCATGAGTTGTTGTGGCAAAAGCGGTTTCAGGAGCTGGAGTACTACGAATTGCCTATAGTTATAAACATCTTTTTGCAATAAAAAGACACAGTTCGTACGGAACATATCCCACCCCAACAGCCTCCACTGCCGAAGAGGGAGTAATAGTAGCAAAATCCGTTTCCGGGGCTGGAGTACTACGGATTGCCTGAATTTCGAGGAGGACAATTATGGAGAGTAACTAAGTAGGACAGAAATATCCTCTAGCGAGGATAGTGAAATGCTTACTGCAACGTTCTCAATGGCTGAGCCATGGGTCTTTGTTGCAAAATCGGTTCTTGGAGCTGGGGTACTACGGATGGTCTAAATTAGCAAAAGATCTCTTTTTTCGTGCAGAAAAGATGAAGATTTCCTTCTCTCTGTTGTTTTTAGACGGATTTGAACTAACTTCAAAAGTTACATACGAGGTAGTGCTCAGAGCTTCCAATGCTATATATCATCTTTGCCTTGAAGGCTGATTTCAGATGTATGTTTATCTACGATTATCTGGAAGTAGCTATAAGCGTTTGAATACAGAAACTATCTGAAACCAACAAATATAATTCGTTGCAACTCACCCTGAGGGCCCTGCTTACGTGATTATGTTCATCAATTGCAAGGAAAAAGAGCAGTTACAAAAAACCCAAATAAGCTTTTGAACATTTTCCATCGAACTGAATACAGAAGCCACGGAATACTTTACAGAACGCACATTCAAACGCTCGTAACTCATTCCAGATAGTCGTTCGGAACATAATAAACAGATATTTGTAATCAGCGTTTCAAGGCGGGTCCGATGGTATATAGCTTGTTTGGAATGGCTGAGTCAAGTGCTTTCCATTTCCTTTTGCATTTATGGACATACAACAATGATGCACGCCGAGCGCGGGCAACATGTTGACTGTTGAGCATCTGGATTTAAAAAATGGTCATACTCCAACGGCCTCTACTGCTGTACCGGGAGTGGTCGTAGCGAAAGCTGTTTCGGGAGCTGGAGTGCTTCGAATCGCCTAGAAGATAGCAAACAGCTAGGAGAAACTAATGCTTTGAGAACACAGTTTACTATAAAGGAACTACTTTCTAGAAGAAAATTAGAAGAAACGCCTACTGCAATATTTTCAACAAGAGATCCTGGAGTTTTAGTAGCAAAATCAGATTCGGGAGCTGGCGTACTGCGGATCGTCTAAATCGGGTCTCGTTATCCATTCTTACAAAATTGAGTGGAAAACCGTTTGAGAGTGGGCGTAAAGAGCAACATCTTACTCCAACAGTTTCCACTGCGGAGCCAGGAGTGGTCGTAGCAAAAGCAGCTTCGGGAGCCGGAGCACTACGAATGGTCTACAAATAGTTGAACTAAACTACGATTGTCAATTGCAGAAGTAGACAAGATCCACTGCTTACACCAACAACTTCAACTGCTGATGCAGGAGTTTTTGTGGCAAAATTGGTCTCCGGGGCTGGAGTACTACGGATAGTCTGAAGGGAAATGAAATGCACGCGCATCACTGTTATGCAGAAGTCCCAAAAGGGTATTAAATTTTAGCCTACTGCGACAGTCTCAACGGTGGAAGCTGGAGTAGTAGTAGCGAAGGAAGTTTCGGGTGCTGGTGTACTGCGAATAGCCTGAATTAGCTCTTGCAATTTCCAAAGATAAAGTCCGCGATTATTTTT